ATGATATTCTCAAATGTATTCTCTGAACTAGAAGAAGAAGAAGAAGAAGAATTCATCTATGAATGAGTTAACTTTTGAGAATGGTGAGAAGAATGAACCTACAATTCTGAATATTTGGGTACAATTTATTGATGAAAATGCACCTTTATTATTACTTACTTTTGTCATTATTTTAAAGTGATAAAATGAGTGTCTCCATATAATACTTCTGACAAAGTTACTAGCATGCTACATAATGGAGATAAAGTGATAAAGGAAAAAACATGTCTTTTATGCCTACTCCGGCAAAGTCACCAAGAATGACAATAATACCCATTACTAGCTTATTCAACAGTCAAGGGTGTTAAATAAATTTGCAGAGTGCTCTGATAATGAAGTAACAATTCTCTGACATTTGGTAAAAAATGTCAAATTATTTTGCTTGCAGGAAAGTGACAATTCACTACTCAAACCAATGGTTCAAAAATGATCAATTATTTTGCTGACAGGGAAGTGACAATTCACTACTCAACCCAATGGACTACTCAATTATTTTGGTTAGTGAGCTAGCAGGGAAGTGATAGCAATGTTCTTTGTAAATTTATTTTATTTATCTATATATAGTGTGGAGTCATGAACAAATAAGTAATGCTCTCAACCTAATACACATTACAAGTCGTCTTCTTTCTTCTCCTCTTCTTTTAAACTTTTCATTCTTTGAAAAGAAATGGATCCATCACATCCATCCTACAATCCATTTTTTCTCTTCTCACAAGGTTCGTCTAATGTTCCAAATAATGAGAGTGAAGAGCCACAATCTCATGTTAACCCTTTTCCTATCCCTTATATTAATTCTCCTTATTTTTTAATTCAAGGAAATTTTCATATGCCAATGTATCCAAATTCCAGCCATCCATATTTCCAACAAAATTACCCACAAATGCCAATATCAAATAATTCCTCTCCAACAGTCACCAAATGAGGCTCCAATTCCTCAAACCATTCCTACTGAGTCTCAAACTGCTCAATATCCAGCATATTGTAGTCAAGGAACGTCCCAACAAGTTCGACACGAAGAAAGAAAGAAAGTAAGAGTTCGTTGAACTACCGAGGATGACACTTTCCTATGTAGTGTGTGGCTCAACATCAGCAAAGATGGAGAAATTGTCATAAATCAAAAGAACAACAACTTCTGGAATCGCATTCGGGAATACGATGACACCTATCGTAAGACCTCCCAAGGCTGAAGGAATAAACAAAGTCTGATGAATCGTTGGACTATATTAAACCATTCACTGTCAAAGTTTGTCGGTTTTTATGCACAAGTTCAAAACCGAAGGAAAAGCGGGATATACGAGGTAGACAAAAAGAACAACACAAAGGAATTATATCGTCCATTAAAAGGTAATGATTTCAATTTTATGCATGCTTGGGATGTGTTACAGGGTGAGGAGAAATGGTCTAGCCAAATTGAGAAAGATAAAGAAGTTGGTCTCTAGGAAGATAGAGGATCAAAGAGGACTAAGAATACTGCATATGGCGAATACACCTATTCATCTTCAAATGCAAGCATGCCACCCACTAGAGACCCATAAGCTATTTCTCATTCTCGTCCACCAGGAAGGAAAGCTTCGAAGGATAAGTGGGAAAAAATCTATGTCGTCTGAGTCAGTAGAAAGCCTCGAGCTAGCAATACAACAACAATTTATCCTCGAAATGAGAAAGGTTAAGGAATTAAAGAAGTACAATATGGCTATGGAGACAAAGATAAAGTTACAGGAGGAACGACAAAGGAAAAGGGAAGAACGAGAGAGGAAGCAAGGAGAACACGCTAGAGATATGTTAGCAATCAAATTGATGGAGATGGATCCAACATCAATGACGGAAGAGCAAAAAATGTTATATCATATGCAAATGCATAAGTATTTAGGGAAAAAAAAATAAAGTCAAACTTGTTTGTAATAATAAAATCACTTGAACCCACAATGTATGCAATTGCAAGTGAATTGCATTGAGGTAGATATAATGATATTAAAATGAATTAGATTGCTTGAATGGTGAGGTGGCAATAGAAATGACATATGCATTGATTTGGCTAATAGTTTGTATTTCGAAAGATTTGACTAATAATTCACAAATTGTTAATATGTTTGGCTAATAAATTGTAGGGCTAATACCACTGGGGAACCCGAACTATTAACTTTGTGTCATTTGTGTCCTAAAGTATTCGATACGACATTTGTGTCCCAACCTATTATAGTTTTGTGTCATTTGTGTCCTGACGATTTTGTTGACCGTTATATATAACGGTTGACCAAACGGAAGTCAACATTAACATTGACTTTTGTTGACGTGGCAGCCACGTAGATGCCACATCAGTGACACCTCATATTTTTTATTAAAAAAATAAAAAATTGTTATAAAAATGATTAAACCTAATTTTTCTTTATCTTTTTACGTCACTTAAAAAGTCAATTAAATAAAAGAAAAAAGCACAAAGAAAAAGGAAAAAAAAACTTGCCGGCCAACCATAACCCTTCTTCCGTCAATCTCCTCCACCAAATCCGCCGGGCGCCCTCTCTCTTCTTCAATCGGGCCGCCTCCTCCTCCCTCAACATCTCCCATCCCTTCTTCTTCTTCTTGCTCTCCTTCATCTCCCCAATCCCCTCAGATCCAGATCCACCGCCTCGATCCCCAAATGGTTGTCGTCCGGATCGAAATCCCGCTTGAAGCTGGCCCGCCGCCGTCGTTGTATTTCACGAACCTGAATGGGAAGCGCGTCCATGTCCGCTCTCAGACTAAACCACGGCTGAGACCCTGACCCGACCGAACCAACGACCCCGGTCTCCGCCACCGGCCACGTGTACCAAATCCCGAGCGAGTAGAGCTCCGATCTCACCAGTTGACTCGTGTTGAATTCTTGGAAAGCCAGCTCCGGATCCTCGTGGATCCTCCTCCGGATGCTTCTCAACCATCCCAAGAACTCCGGCTCTCTTGCCATCTGCAGCAGCTCCTCAGTGAGCGAAGTCAGATCCGGCTGACTCGGACGATTCCCTGTCGCGGCGGCGGAAGCGGAGTGACACGTGCAGAGCACCATCGTTAAAGTGACTAACCACGCCATTGGTAGAAAGGAGAAGGAGTGAAGTTCAATTCGAGTTCGAGGGAGGAGAGATAGCCAGGTAACCACAGCCGCCGTCGTTGGATTTCACGGCCATGGCTGCTGGGAGAAGAGATCAGAGTGAGTGGAAGACAGAGATTTTTTTTTATTTTTTTTTTTGTTTTAGGTTATTAATTTATATGGAAAATATTATAAATTCCACGTCAGATGCCACATCATCGCTGACTAAAGTTTCTGTTAAAAATTAACGGTCAATGCAGTCAACTATAACGGAAAAATAGTTTGGGACACAAATGTCGTATCGAATACTTTAGGACACAAATGACACAAAGTTAATAGTTGGGGTTTCCTAGTGGTATTAGCCCTAAATTGTATTTACCTAAATATAAAACACATCTTACTTTGTAGGGCATAATCTTTGGTTTGTTTCACTATATTGCTAGGGTAAAGAGCTCGATTTTCATAACTGAAACGAACATTGAACTGAAAAAGTTATTGGTTTGTGGTTATATTGTTGGTTAATCGTTGGTAGCAAGGACGGAGCCAGGATTTGGCATTTTGGGTTGGGGGCGGAGTTTCTTATTATGTTATCGTTAAAAGTATTAAAATCATCAAAATAATAAATAAAACTATTTTTAATATTATGAAAGCTATATTTTTTAAATGTTTAAAGTCGCACAAAATATACTCTAAAGTAAGCTTTTATAAAATGATAGATTCAATATAAATTACCAAAGATATGAACAAATTAATAAAGCATATCAATGTTAACATATCCTATTTTCAAAATTAAAAATAAATGTTGTATAACACATCCTATTTCTAAAATTAAAAAATGAATTTTTATATATGTATTAAATAATAATTTATTCATTAATTGTCCAAAAATATGCTAAATTTTTTGTAAGTTGAAGAACTTATTTAATTTAATCTGCCCCTGAAGTTGATAGAATGACTCATGTGCTATAACATAAAAGACATATATAATAAACTAATATATGACATAATTTATCACTAACCATAAACAATATCAACTCCATATCATCAATCACCAAAAGTTCTAACAAACCATTCAAATAGTCTAACAAAATAAATCATAAAATTTGTACTAAATTCAAGTTAGTAATTAGGATTGCAGTATGTAGTGGACCAGTAATACCAATTAGAAGGTTGAGAAACAAACAAGAGAAAGTATATATAAAAATAGTAATTCAAGATGGACTATCTTAGTTTATGCTAAATTATTTTTCTTTCTTTATTTTTCCTATGGTTAACATAGTGAACAAGTTCAGCCGTCAATTTGGGGTGGTTCATCTGATTTCATTTTAACCGTGGAAAAACGTGAGCTCCATCCATAGTCGTCCAAACAAATGGACTGAACCGTTATTGAAACTAGTTTGACGGTTATACTGGTCGGGTCGCTGATCCGGTTTGATTCTTATAACAATGATTAGGACTAGGGCTAAATTACACATTTGGTCACTCGAATTACATAAACATTTCACGTTTGCCACCCAAATTAATTTTCTTTCAATCTAACCACTCACTTTACGAATCGTTTCACCGTTGGTCACCCTCCGTCAGTCTCCGTCAGATTTTTGATGACGTGGCAAACGGAAGTGCTGACTGGGCTAACAGAGAGGCTAAAAACGACGGCTTTGACTGCCTAGTCAGCCACATACCCGACCCAGCAATTTAATTGACCCGTTTTTTTTTGTATTTCATTTTTCTTTTCTTTTATTTTTATTGAAAAAAGCTTTACTTTTTGGACCGAAAAAAAAAGCTTTACTTTTAGTGTGAAAACTGAAAACGACCGGGCAGTAAAAGGAAGGGGTTTTTTCACTTCTCTTCTCTTCGTATCTCTTCGTATTCTCTTCTCTGTGTTTTTCTTCCGAGGAAGCGACTTCGATCTCGATCAGGGGAGAAGGGGAGACGCCGGTCGGACAGGTCCGACTAGGCCAGAGAAAGGATTTTCCGGGCAGGGGAGGTGGAGGTAAGGCCGCCGCAGTGGAGGCGCTCGATCGGGCGGCGGTGCACCAGCCACGACGACGATCCGGCCAACGAGAAGTACACACGCGATTCCCCGATTCCCCTCCTCACGCGGCCGGCGAGAATCTACATAGCCACCGCTGATTCCCCTCCTCTCTCTCTCTCTCTCTCTCATTCCCCGCGGTCAACGCTGCTACTCCCAACCGCTGCCGCCGACGACTTATACTTCATAACCGAATCTATCCCTCCGATCTGCAATAACAACGATCCCAGAGGCTTGAAGAGGTACGTTTTGAATTTTAACCTTCTCCATCCTTTTCGTTCCTTTCTTCCTTTACTCTTCTTATCGTACCCAATTTGTTTTACTGAAACCCTAAAAATTTCCCAATATGAAATCGACAGAAACCCTAAACCTTACCTTCTGATTCGCTTTGTGGTGGTTGCTCGGCAAGACGCAAAGGTGCTTTTGGGGCAGACACAAAGGTGCTTGCTATTTTTGGCCCTTTTTATGATAGTCATGCGAAGTGTTGAAAGGGGAAAAGTTAGAAAATGATAAAAGTTCTTGACTGTGGGGATTTTGCTGTCGTTTTCCAGGTTGTTTGTCACGTTTGGCGAGCAATATTCTTCAAACGACCAATATTCTTTCATTGAGAAACGACCAATATTCTTCAAACGAAGTGATGGTAAGAGGCTGCAAGTGATGTGCGAGGCACCATGTGATTGGTACATATGGGCATCCAAGTTGAGAGATGAAGATGTTGTGAAGATCACTAGGTGCAAACTTGAGCACACAGCAGATTGCACCTTAACCTTCAACAATAGGTTTGCAACATACAAGTTCTTGGGGGATAAAATGACTAAGAAGGTGGCAGCAGATCACAGTATGAGTAAGAAATTGTTGAAGCAAATTGTGAAGGAAGATTATAGGGAGGAGATTGGGGATATGAAGGCATGGAGAATCAAGAAGACAGCAATTGAGAAGGTTTGTGGTTCTATTAGGGACCAATACGAAAGCTTATATCATTATGCTGCAGAGTTGAGGAGGAGCAACCCAAACTCCACTGTTGTAGTTGAGCAACGAGAACAAGTGTTCAATCGCATGTATGTATGCTTTGAGGCATCAATGAAAGGTTTTAGAGCAGGCTGCAGGCAAGTCATATGCATCGATGGATGCTTCCTCAAGCATGATTATGGTGGCCAGCTGCTATCTGCCGTTGGTATTGATGCGAACGAGCAATATTTTCCCATCGCATTTGCTTATGTTGAGGTGGAGAACAAGGATAATTGGCTTTGGTTCCTGGAGCTTTTGGGAACCGATTTGCATATTAATGATAATCATGGATGGACATTCATTTCTGACAAGCAAAATGTGCATTTTTTACTCATTCTTGCTGCCTTAAATTTATTTGCTGCTGCTGTAATTTTTTTTTTTTTTTTTGTTGACAAGCTGCTGTAAAATAAACATTGGTGTTAACCATTGCTGTAATTTTCATTCTGAAGGGTCTAATGCCAGCACTAGATGAGGTGTTTCCCTCTAGTGAGAAGCGTCATTGTACCAGGCATCTTGTGACCAATCTAAGTGCTGCATGTGGATCATCAGCGAGGGTTAAGGAGCTATTCTGGGAAGCAGCTAGAGCCACCACTGTCTCTGAATTTCAAGTTGCTATGAGAAGCCTGTCGGATTACAACAAGCCCTCTTATGATTGGCTTGTTGACAAGCCATACTACCATTCGTCCAGGTCGCATTTTCAGTGTCTCGTTTTAACAGATATGGACACGAACAACCTGGTTGAGAGCTGGAATAATGTCATCGTCGATGAGAGGGATATGGGTCCTGTTGGCATGTGGGAAGGGATTAGGAGGAGGCTGATGGTGCTATATGCCAAAAGACGACGTATAGCCAACAAGTGGGCTGGTCCTTTGTGTAAAAACATTGAGAAGAATTTGCAAAAACTAGGAGAAGAAGCCCTTAAGTGGTCTGCTGAATCAAACGGCAACGGGGAGTTTGAGGTGAGGTGGCAAAATCAGCAAGTTGTTGTTAACTTGAAAAAAAAGAATTGTACTTGCAGAAGGTGGGATCTGACTGGAATCCCTTGCGAGCTTGCCATTCAAGCAATTCGTAAGGCAAAGCTTAAGGTATACGACTTTGTGGCTGGTTGTTACTTCAAGGACTCGTGCATAAGAATTTATGAGAACTCCATATCACCAACGGCTGGTAGAGAGTATTGGCCTTTGTCTCAACTTGGTGACGTTGGAGTTCCTCCACTTCGTGCCTCTATTAAGAGAGGAAGGCCAAAGAAAGCTAGAAGAAAGGAAGCTGGTGAAAAAGATTCTGGTAAGAAGAGGCAAAAGGGTCCTGAAAGAGAAGTTGCAAAACCAGTAAAGAAGAAGTATAAGTGTACTGATTGCGGAGAAGTTGGGCACAACAAGACATTTCATCAAAACCGAGAAGCAAAGGAGTTGGCAAAGAAAAAGAGGGCAGAAGCAAAACAGAAGGAAAAGGAAGATATACAGAGAAGGAAACAGCTTGAAAGGGCAGAAAGAAACAGGCTAGCGGCATTGAAGAAGTTGCAAGCTAAGGCTGCCAAGCAAGCATCAAGTCAAGTGATGGCAGATGTATAAGTTTATTCTTTTGTCTTCTGTTTTCCATTTCTCATATTCAATATTTTTTTATAAGCCTACTGATGTAATTTAACTTTGCAGGGAAGTTCCCAAAGGCCAGCAAGTCAAGTGTCCCAGCAACCAAGCCAAGACTCACATAGGAGCAATCTATGAAGAGTAGGGTGTAGAATTTTGAAGCCATTCATGTCTATTGTAGTGCTTGGTTAGGAGGACAAGCAGAATGGCTGTTTTGTTGACTATTTTGAAGTCATTCATGTATATTGTAGTGCTTGGTTAGGACAAGCAGAATGGCTGTCTTGTAATCGTATGTTGAACAAATTGTTGAACTTTAGGGGGACCAGCAATGGTAGTTAATGGCTGCTGTAAAACAGTTCCAGGTGTTCAGCAAAGTTTTTGGCTTTTGGTTAAATTCATGTTCAGCAGGTTATGGTTGCATTTATGTTATGTATTGTTCTGTTCTATACAAGGTGTTACATATCAAAGGGAAAATATCAGTGATACAAACGAAAGAAAACCAGCAAGGCAGTGGCATTAATGAAATGCAATCAAAATCATAGTGATACAGATGAAATAAATAAAATCCGTAGTGGCTTCCGTGAAAAATAAATAACATTCCGGTGGTACAGATGAAACATAAACAACATTCTAGTGATACAAGTGAAACAACATTTTCTTATTTTCCCAACAAGATTAAACCAAATACAATTGTAACACCCTGTTTTTGGTTTAGGGTTCGATTAAGATTCGACCGAACGGTTGGAGCCACGATTACGTACGAAGAATTAAAACTGTGAATTAGAAATAATGATAATAATAATAATAATAATAACACTAACTATTGTTATCATTATTATAATTATTATGATAATCATCACCCCATCCCACACGTTTCATCTCCTGTATGAGAGAAAGGGGAATTAATCCCACTCTCCACCCGTTACACCTAGCCGCCCCACCTCTCTCGGATTCTCTCACTCCAATCAATCCCACACCCGTTAAACACCATTCCTCCCCAAACGTTCCCTAATAATCCCCCTCACTTCCGACCGAGAAAAAGCAGAAGCCACGACAGTGCCGGTAGGCTTCCCTCGTCGACCCAGCAAGCACTAGCTATCGCCGGGAAGAAACTGAAGCTGCTGCCGACGACAAGCTGCAGAAGTCGATCGCCCCTCCCCTGTTCTTTTGTTGCACGTCGGAGAAGAAGGTGAGGGAAGAGAAGAAGGAAAGGAAGGGGAAAGGAAAGAGTCTGGGCAATGGATTTTGGTCGGGAGAACGTCAGAAATCGTTCCATGGAATTGGATTTGCGTTTGGAGGTCTGTAGATGCCTCGTCGGAGCTTCGCCGGAGTGTCGCCCGATTCTGGAAAAAAAATCAACTTCGACCAAACTTCGAAGGGTGGATACGGTCGCGTAGAGGGCGATCTCAGGAGCGTCACGGTGTCGACGAAATCAAATTCGGACGTCGGATGAGGGAGAACCGAGTCTCCCAAGTTTGCGGAAGAATATGTCAACGATCAGGTATCATTCTTGGGAATTCAAAAAGTTGGAGGATTAAATGTGTAAGTTTCAATAGAGCTCGTGGTCAACTGTGTTGACTGGAAAATATCAGTCGCGGTACTTAGTACTTCTAAACTAACAGAATATTTATTTTGGCCATAACTCGATCAATTGACGTCCGATCGAGGAACCGTCGACGTCTATGGAATCGTGGGAACGAGGAGAATTAAATGGAAGCAAGTCATGGAATTATTAGAGCGGAGTCTGAGTCGTTTTCGACAGATTTGAGTGAGTGTAAAGGGGGTAAAATCTCCGTCGAGGTCTTTTAGTTTATGTCTTTTAATTCAGTTATGTTATTTAATTTTCAAGTAAGCGCGATTATGTGTGTGAGGCATCCCACCGCCTACTTAAGGTGGAGGCACGCGTTGTGCTATGTATGTGAATGTGTGTGATTGATGGTAATTGAACCCCCGGGCGGTTGGGCCACTACTGGACGCGGTAGATGGTCGGGTCACTGCTGGACGGCGAGACGTAACGCAGCAGTTGATCGAGTATGTTGGGGTCACTACTGGACGGCGAAACGTAACGCAGTAGTTGACGGGCATGGACTGGACGGCGAGACGTAACGCAGTGCCATTGCCGAGTTTGGGTATGCAACCGGACGGCGAGACGTAACGCGGTTGGCATACTAGGGTAGGACACCGGACGGCGAGACGTAACGCGGTGGGTCCTAGTATTTTGTGTTTGAGTTAAGGATATAAGTTGAGAACTTCTATGAGTTAACGTTGAAATAAGTTTTAGGATGAAAGTGAGAACGACTTTCATCTAAGGAAAGGAAACCCTAATAATGTGTTTGAGTAAGGAGTTTGCCTAGGGCAAAGACCTTAGGAAGTAACGACGAGACTGACCCCTTCTCACTCACCAGGTTGAGGATGGGTTAGCGGAGGTGGATCCCGAGAAGAAGTAAGATGAGGCAAGCGGTCGTGCCAGTACCGATGATGAGTTGTCGAGGAGCTGGGTGAAGAGTTTAGTTAAAGTTTGATAGTTATTTCATGTTTATGGTTATGAGTATATGTACTGGAGATTCAAGGTTCAAGATTCAGTGTCGAGTTGTTTTAAGTGTTTGGGATTGAGATTTTGCCCAAGTGTTGGGGCTTTTCGTTTAAAATTCTTAAATAAAGTCAGTTTGTTATTTTAAAAGTGGTTTGGGTTGCTCCGGAGTAACCGGTTTTTGGTTTGAGTTAAGGTTTGGTTTCGAAAAAGAGTCGGGACGTTTCATTTTGGTATCAGAGCCGGCACTCCTCTGTTTCTTGGTCTCCAAGGAGTACTGGAGTGACGATATGAGTTTTTCAAGGGTTCAGTTTTTAAAGGAAAGGAAAACTGGGAGTGTCATTTAAAAGTTTGGCCAAACGAGTCAAAGTCTTTTGAGGATTTTTTTTTTTTTAGAATCTCCAGTATACTCTAATCATGATAAGGAAATACCGTTAGGATGCCCTATGGGGTTATGATACGTCTCGAAAAGGAGAAACAGCAGATCCTTAGAAGATCGTTTAGTGAAACCCCTTCATCAGGAGTCCGACAAGTCTTCAAGGAGCTCGAAGACAAGTTTTGGAAAAGAAGGAGACCGCCATCCAGTTAAGCGAGGTAAAGAAAGGCTAGAGGTGTTACCAACTAAGCCGAGGTATGAGGAGGGATTCGAGAGACCCTACGGGTATAGTAATCATGAGAGGTCGAAAATCCAAGGGACACAAGGAGCATCGTCGGACCAGGATAGGATAAGAGTTAGAATCTCGAAACTTGCCTAAGAAAAGTCATCAAGCCAGTTGAGGAAAGACAAGAAAGTAGAACGTTCGAGAGAAGTTCTAATAAATGTCAAAGAAGGCAAGTAGAACTTTTGAGAAGGAATGACGGGGAGCTAGTGAATTGAGTTCGAGCATCAAAGCAAGAACCAAGCATCGATAAAGGGGTTGTGAAAGTAAAGGAAGTGTAAATCCCTATAGTAGAAGGATTACCACAGTAAGATTTTGAGCTAATGCGGTGAACAAATTTCGAGGTCGAAATTTTTCTTAAGGGGGGAGGAAATGTGATACTTCGACTCCGATTTAAGGGCCAACAACGATTGCTGAATGAGCTGGACCAACAAAGTGAATCGATAATTTTGTTCCATCGCCAGATGGGGGAATTAAAAGGGACAAGTAGCCACTCAAAGCTACTCGATGCTAATGAGCTTGTTGAGAATACCTTTTATGGTCAAGAGGAAATAACTTGAGGTAAGGTAAACTATACGGGATAAGCAACGGACATCATCAAGGTTCATATAGCGAGAGTAAATTTTTGAGGCAAGGAAGTACAAGAATGATGTTGACAGAGGAAAGAGATTCAAGCAAATTTCGGGGACGAAATTTGTGTAAGGGTGGAGGAAATGTAACACCCTGTTTTTGGTTTAGGGTTCGATTAAGATTCGACCGAACGGTTGGAGCCACGATTACGTACGAAGAATTAAAACTGTGAATTAGAAATAATAATAATAATAATAATAATAATAACACTAACTATTGTTATCATTATTATAATTATTATGATAATCATCACCCCATCCCACACGTTTCATCTCCTGTATGAGAGAAAGGGGAATTAATCCCACTCTCCACCCGTTACACCTAGCCGCCCCACCTCTCTCGGATTCTCTCACTCCAATCAATCCCACACCCGTTAAACACCATTCCTCCCCAAACGTTCCCTAATAATCCCCCTCACTTCCGACCGAGAAAGAGCAGAAGCCACAACAGTGCCGGTAGGCTTCCCTCGTCGACCCAGCAAGCACTAGCTATCGCCGGGAAGAAACTGAAGCTGCTGCCGACGACAAGCAGCAGAAGTCGATCGCCCCTCCCCTGTTCTTTTGTTGCACGCCGGAGAAGAAGGTGAGGGAAGAGAAGAAGGAAAGGAAGGGGAAAGGAAAGAGTCTGGGCAATGGAGTTTGGTCGGGAGAACGTCAGAAATCGTTCCATGGAATTGGATTTGCGTTTGGAGGTCTGTAGATGCCTCGTCGGAGCTTCGCCGGAGTGTCGCCGGATTCTGGAAAAAAAAATCAACTTCGACCAAACTTCGAAGGGTGGATACGGTCGCGTAGAGGGCGATCTCAGGAGCGTCACGGTGTCGACGAAATCAAATTCGGACGTCGGATGAGGGAGAACCGAGTCTCCCAAGTTTGCGGAAGAATATGTCAACGATCAGGTATCATTCTTGGGAATTCAAAAAGTTGGAGGATTAAATGTGTAATTTTCAATAGAGCTCGTGGTCAACTGTGTTGACTGGAAAATATCAGTCGCGGTACTTAGTACTTCTAAACTAACAGAATATTTATTTTGGCCATAACTCGATCAATTGACGTCCGATCGAGGAACCGTCGACGTCTATGGAATCGTGGGAACGAGGAGAATTAAATGGAAGCAAGTCATGGAATTATTAGAGCGGAGTCTGAGTCGTTTTCGACAGATTTGAGGTGAGTGTAAAGGGGGTAAAATCTCCGTCGAGGTCTTTTAGTTTATGTCTTTCAATTCAGTTATGTTCGTTAATTTTCAAGTAAGCGCGATTATGTGTGTGAGGCATCCCACCGCCTACTTAAGGTGGAGGCACGCGTTGTGCTATGTATGTGAATGTGTGTGATTGATGGTAATTGAACCCCCGGGCGGTTGGGCCACTACTGGACGCGGTAGATGGTCGGGTCACTGCTGGACGGCGAGACGTAACGCAGCAGTTGATCGAGTATGTTGGGGTCACTACTGGACGGCGAGACGTAACGCAGTAGTTGACGGGCATGGACTGGACGGCGAGACGTAACGCAGTACCATTGCCGAGTTTGGGTATGCAACCGGACGGCGAGACGTAACGCGGTTGGCATACTAGGGTAGGACACCGGACGGCGAGACGTAACGCGG